TCAATGGACCTGTATCTTTATTTAACCGTGACAACTATGTAACTATATAATACCCCTGAATAGATAGTGATATTTCTGAAAAAAAGATCAAATATGGGTTTACTCCTGATGTCATAGAAGGTATTTTATTTTAAAAAATTTGGTTTTAAATATTAAAGCACTTCAGGCCCAAAAACATCAACAATTCATATTCCTCATTGTGTGCAACAAATGCTTTTAACAACCCAGTTATTACCTTGTAAAAGTAGCAATAACATAGCCTGTGCATAGAGCAGAGTTGTGGAAGGGACCCAGCATGTCCCACCCACTATAGGCTGCCTGCAGAAAACTACAGGAGGGAGCTGATACATTATCTACACACATAAAGAGAGAGCAGCAGTGACTGATCTTTATTACAGGAAGCTCCTGCACAGAAGCAAAGTTTCATGCTGGATCACTGCACAGATCTGTTAAAAATACACATTCAAGTGACAATATACACTGCCTGGCCAAAAAAAGTCACATTTCGTTGGACCGCCTTTAGCATTGATTATGGCATGCATTCACCGTGGCATCATTTTGATAAGCTTATGCCATGTCACAACATTTATTTCCATCCTTTTCACCAAGATCTTGTAGTGATGATGGGAGAGTCAGATCGTTGCGTAAAGTCTTCTCCAGCACATCCCAAAGATTCTCAATGGGGTTAAGGTCTGGACTCCGTGGTAGCCAATCTATGTGTGAAAATGATGTCTGGTGCTCCCTGTACCACTCTTTCACAATATGAACCCGATGAATCCTGGCATTGTCATCCTGCAATATGCCCAATGTGAAGAAAAACTCCATTGATGGAAAAACCTGGTCATTCAGTATATTCAGGTAGGCAGCTGACCTCATTTTTGGGAGCATAATGTTGCTGAAGCTAGACCTGACCAAATTAAGCAACCCCATATCATTTGTGACCGGTCACATCTCTTGCCTTGAGGAAGGGACCCTGCACGGCCCCGAAACGTCAGCTCTTTTTGATCTTTGTGACACTATTGTCCAATAAAAAGGACTTATTCATTTTAAATACTTGGAGTGCTGGTGACCTATTCTTTCAATTGTGTATTTTGCACGGTGCCATCCGTGGAGTTACTACAAGCACCATCTTTGCTTATTGGCCGGGACTGCTGAAAGGTGTGCGGAGAGTATCCTCACCAATTGCAACCCCAGATCATAGCACTGCCCCCACAGGCCTGTACAGTAGGCACTAGGCATGATGGTTACATCACTTCATCCGCCTCTCTTCATACTCCGATGCGCCCATCACTCTGGTACAGGGTAAGTCTGGACTCATCATAGGACATGACTTTTTTCCATTGTTCTTCATGCTCCCTAGCAAATCGAAGCCTTTTCTTCTGATTAGCCTCACTGATAAGTGACTTTCTTAAGGTGCCAATAAACCTATCGATTTTCGTTCGGAATGGTCTTTCGAACAATAATCGATCAGTTGATGGGACACCAACTATTTTAATTACTGTACTCCTGGCCGAATTTCCTCAATCGCTCAGGCTGGAAAGCTTTTTTCGAATCGTACGAAAATCGATAGATTAGTGGCGTTTTCGTACGAAAAAAATCGCAGCAAGAACACTGCACATGTGCAAACGAAAATCCGTTCTTTCGATCGACAAAATTTGGTGAGATAGTATTGCTAACAAATGATTATTGAAATCATCATTGGTCTATGCATGAAAAATCCCAATCAAAAAACTATAGGTGTATGGCCAGCTTAAAGGCTACACAGCTGTTTAGTCCCAATTCCTATGGTTCTCTTTGCATTGTGAGTTTGGAAATGGTTTTACTTTAACTATTAAACATAGCAGTGAATTCTACTGTTCATTTTTTACGATTTGATTCCACAAAACATTTAAATGATCTCCGATCACGATCATTCAAGATTTTTTTTCTGACTACATTTCTTCTTCGAAGATGGTTTACCACTATCCGTCCGGGTTTTAAAAATGCATTGGACAGTTCTTTAAGTGACACTGAAATCAGGAGCTAAATCTCAAAAATGCATTCAAGTACCTTAACTACTGTATTAACAAAACTGTATCTTATTTGTGTATCACTCAGTTGTAGACCATCAAATCATCTCTGAAGTGTGCTGACACTGTCCTTCCTTCTGGAGGGTGGCTACTTTTGTTCCCCATGGTCCCTGTGTGTGTTGTAGAGTAGCCACTGCTTCAAGCTTGCTCCCGTGATGGACTACAATCTAACGTTTAGTTTACCAATTTGTATTGAGATTGTAGTCCATCATGGGAGTGAGTTTGGAGCGGTGACTACTTTGAATGCATTTTTAAGACACCTGAGTTTTGTGTCACTCTAACCCAACTTTAGTAGTTCCAGCAATCTCCTTAGTTGTTTTCTCTGCTAGAGGCAGGCCAGTAGTTTGACCCTTCTAACAGTGGCGTAACTAGAAATCACAGGGCCCCATAGCAAAATTTTCTATGCCTAAGAAAAAAGACTTACCTCCAGAACACGTTCACGCTCTCTGCTGCGGAGCTCACCATAGACCCCGCACAGCCTACCAGAGGCCCTGTGGAGGCCACCTGAGTCCCCGCACATCCCAGAGACTCAGCACAGCCCACTTGAGATCACGCACAGCCCACCTAGCACCCTGTGGAGCCCACTTGAGACCCTGCACATACCATAGACCTTGCCTGAGAGTGACCAGCACAGCCCACCTGAGAGTGACCAACATAGACCCTGTATACTGAGCTCTGCAGGGCCTCAGGTGAGCTGGTTGGAGTCCCTTTCCCTGCACACCACTTATCTGTAGGCCCCGATCCGCTCGCTTCTGGGCGCCGGCCTCTTCCACTGCCGGGACCCGGCCTCCTCCTCCACCATCACCACTGGGCCCCGGTCTCCTCCCTCAACACCACTGCCGCCGTGCCTCCGCCTCCTCCGCCGGCCCGTGAAAAGTAAGAAAAGTATGTGACAGCAGTCTGTTCCACCTTCTAGTCCAATGCCACCGCTGGTTGCTGCAGTGGTAGGAGCAGGAGCCTCTAAGTGTCCTTGCCACCCAGGGTGGGCTCTTTTCTCTCTCTGCAGGGGAGGAAGTAGCAAGTGGTAGAATGCCAGGACCCATTGTAGTTCCCTCAGTACTAGAGGGGGAAGGTCCTTGAGTCATTCCATCCCTAGGCAGAGGGAGGGAGAAGAAATTTCCTCTGCAGCCGGGCCCAGTCTCCTCCACCACCACTGCTGCTTTCGGGCCCCAGCCTCGCCCACCTCAGCTGCTGGCTGTCACTGACTCAGCAGCGGCTGTGAGGAGGAATGCGCTGCTGCACAGATCACTGACAGGTTGTCAGTGATCTGGACAGTGGCACGTTCCTCCTCACAGCCGCTAGTGACAGTCCTAGAGCCTGGAATGCCATAGCCACCCAGGTGGCCTGCATGGCATCAGGGAGACCCATTTATTCCTAGTACTGGCCTGGCTCCCCTGTGCCCCATAGCGCCACTGCCTTCTAACGACCACAGGATATGTCTTCTGACATGGTTGCTTAAGAAACGAGAAGCCACTCACTGCATCAGTTAGGGTTAAATAACTTGATGCCAGCTGAAACCTTTTCATTGGCCAGGCAGTGCATATGACTCTTAACCAATATTTACTTATGCTGAAGTTTAGCTTTAATTTAACACTGCAGTTTAATTTTGTTGGTGGTAGTTGGTAGATTCATTGGGGGGAATTTATCAAAACTGGAGCAGAAGTCCATAGTAACCAATCAACTTCTAGCTTTAGTATGCTCAGTTAACGGAGAACTATGGGGTCAGTGTTTTTCCCCATAGTTCTCCTTAGGGTAACGGGAGGACACAAACTAGCATCCTCCCGTTACCCTTAGCTCAGTATACCGCGAACTACAGCTCGCGGTATACTGAGACGCCGCAGGCGGAGCGGATCCCGACGTAGATGACCCGGTATGTGTTCGCTCACCTCCCGATCTACTGAGCCGACCTGTGACAGTCTCATTGTCACAGGTCGGCTAGAACTATGAGGTGAGTGAAAAGCACTCACCTCATAGTTCTCCTTTAAAGGAGAACTATGGGGTTAAGACTTTTCCCCATAGTTTTCCTTAGGGTAAGGGGAGGACGCAAACTAGCGTCCTCCAGTCACCCTAAGCTCAGTATACCGCGAGCTACAGCTCGCGGTATACTAAGACGCCACAGACGTATACTGAGACGCCGCAGCTGAAGCGGATCCCGACAATTATGTCTGGATCCGCCCAGCTGCGTGAGTGACAACCGACTCAACCTATCTAGAGGCAGAGCCAGCTGTACCCGCCCCCTCCACGTCCGATCCGCCAGTCAGCGCTGGAGGATCGGAGCGGGGAGGGGGGAATCCAGCCCCTCCCCTGTCACGGCAGAGAGCCGTGACAGGATCGAGAGGTGAGCGAACGCCAGTATGTGTTCGCTCACCTCCCGATCTACTAAGCCAACCTGTGACAGTCTCATTGTCACAGGTCGGCTAGAACTATGAGGTGAGTGAAAAGCACTCACCTCATACCGGCAGTTCTCCTTTAAGCTTTGAAAATGAAAAATAGAAGCTAATTGGTTGCAATGATCGACTGCTCCAGTTTTGATAACTTCCCGTTCATAACAAGACTTTATCATGACCTGTTTTTTGACTAAATAAAGTATTGAATATATTTTTGTATACAATCAGTAGACTACTTCAGTATCTACTACTGTTCTTGTTATTACCTATATAGGAATAATAGGACTGGATGCAGATCCCTATATTCAAACAGCTTTGTAAATACTTGTATATACTATTTTACCATCCTGTGTAGTACCTTATATAAGATAATGCCCTAATTGTAATCCATAGACAATGGTGTGGGGTCCATAGGACCACTTTACTGTCTATAATGTAAACATCACCTCCCTCTAAGAGCACTGGAACACACAGCGGCGGCTGCCCACAAAAAACATGGCCGCTGTTGCCTTTCCGCTCGGAAGCGGAAGTAGTTATAGTTTACGACAGTTTCCGGTGCCGAGCTGCCTCTTGTTGGCGCCGGTTGAACGAAGGTGTGCAAGATGTGGTCTATGGACTTTCTGGACGATGTGCGGCGGATGAACAAGAGGCAGGTGAGCGGCCGGGTGCTGAAGACTTTATACACAACCATGCTGTGTGTGTCCCCCTGTGTGTTTTTATATTCATAGTGTGTCCTGCAGAGGGCTGACAATGACTATTCTGCAGGTTATCACAGAGCTAACCGTGACTGTATTCTGCAGAGTATTGCAGAGAGCTAACCGTGACTGTATTCTGCTGAGAGTGACTGTATTCTGCAGAGAGCTGAGAGTGACTATTCTGCAGAGTATTGCAGAGAGCTGAGAGTGACTGTATTCTGCAGAGTATTGCAGAGAGCTGAGAGTGACTGTAGTCTGCAGAGAGCTGAGAGTGACTGTATTCTGCAGACTATCCAAGAAGTGTCAGTTCACCTTTATAATAAACTGTACATTGCAGTCAGGTTTCCTCAGTAGTTTGGAAATCAAGGTGCAGATTTCTGTTTATATGACATAATGTTGCCGAAGCGCAGCCTTCGCAAGGCCTTGACAAAAGGTAGCATGCAGATCGGTTCACTCCATTCTGCGTGAAAGCAATGATGGACAGTATATTGATTACACCCCATCGTCCTAGGAACGAGCACTCTGCCTCAACCCCACTTGCAGAACGCTCTCTATCCCCTTGCCACAAGGTGTGCTCAGTGTACTGTCCATGCTAACTGACGCATATACATGATGGCACCGATCACTCTGGATTCTACTTTTCTCTTTAAAGGAGAACTATGAGGTGAGCGCTTTTCACTCACCTCATAGTCCCAGCCCACCTGTGACAATGAGACTGTCGCAGGTCAGCTTAGTAGATCGGGAGGTGAGCGAACACATACCGGCGTTCGCCTACCTCTCTGCCGTGACAGGGGAGGTTCTGGATTCCCCCCGCTCCGATCCGCCAGCGCTGACTGATGGAACGGACGGGGGCGGGTACAGCTGGCTCTGTCTCTAGATAGGCAGAGCCAGCTGTCAGTCACGCAGCTGGGTGGATCCAGACATAATTGTCGGGATCCGCTTCAGCTGCGGCGTCTCAGTATACTGCGAGCTACAGCTCGCGGTATACTGAGCCTAGGGTGACGGGAGGACACTAGTTTGTGTCCTCCCGTTACCCTAAGGCCCCATTCACACTGAGCGACATGAAAATTGCGCAATTTTGAGCGATATGGCGCGACGAGCGATATGGAGCGACTTGTCGCGCAACTTTTTCCTATTGGGCTGTATGCAATCAGGAGCAATATCGCTCAAAATCGCTCGAAAAAAGGGTCATGTAGAAGCGACGAGCTACAAGCGATATTGAGCGACGAGATGTGAACAGCTCCATTGAAATGGATTGGACAAGCTACATAGAGCGTGGAAATATGATCGCTATCGCTGCAAAAATCGCGCGATAAATCGCTCAGTGTGAATGGGGCCTTAGGAGAACTATGGGGAAAAGCCTTAACCCCAAAGTTCTCCTTTAAAAGAAAAACCCTTCCATTAGGCCAGCTCGGTTCTTTGTGTCACATCCGGAGGCCAGCTGGGGATGCGGAAATACACTGTAGTAGTTTGAGCTACATACAGTCAATGCTGTCCTATCCGACTTGCCGTCTGTACACTGAACACAGGGAGGTGCTTGCTTCCATACCTCCACTATTCAGCAAATGTCTTGTATTTTTTTCAATGAATACCAGGTGTTCTCTGATTGGATGTGTCGAAGAGGAGGGGGAGGTGTCACGAGCACCACCCGCCAACCAGAGAATGCCTTAAAGCCGCTGACAAAAATACAGAGGGGAATGTATCATTGGAGCAGACAGAATCTGGTACTATGGGCAACTGCTCCAATCGGCTTCTCTCTTCAGCTTGTTCAGTTAAGCGTTGAAAATGAAAGAGAGAAGCCATGGGCACATGCTTCAGATTCTGTCTGCTCCAGTTTTGATAAATTCCCCTCACAAAGTTTGCTGAATGATGGCGGTACAGGAGGGAATGACATTTGAGGAGAATTTATCAAAACTGGAGCAGTTGTGCATGGCAGCCATCAGCATCACCTATGTAGCACAGACTACTTCAGTGAATCTCGGTATCCCCAGTGACCCTTCAGATCCGACCCATGGATAAGTACATGTATCTAAGTTGTCCCAAGTGGGGATGCACCATTTTTTTCCAGACCGAGTATAAGTACCGATATTTTTCCTCAAGTACTCGCTGATTCCGATTACCAATTCTTCTTTTTTTTTTTTTGGTGTCGTGACAGTTTTTCTAAAACAATACAGACTAATGATTTCAGGACAGTGGTGAAGTGCCAGGGCCCAGTCCGAGCTGCAAATGCTGCAACCCTATTAGTTCTCCCACTTACTCCAAGCTGTAGATGGACTACAAATCCCAGCAATACATTATTCAGCAATGCAGTATAATACCATCAGCTATAGAGGACTACAAATCCCAGCAATGCATTATACTTTAATGCAGACTAATATGAAGCTACATACTCTGTGCTGCTCCAGGGTGCCGGCCTGATGTCTCCAGCAGAGCATCTCAGGCGGGTTGTGTGCGGTTGTCAGCCCGGCTGTGCGCAGGTCTCTGGTGGTCTTAGGAGGCAGTGCATGGGTCTCACCAGGGTCCGGTATGGTCCTGCGGGTAGTACGAGTGCTCATGAAAATGCCCAAATTGAATATAAAGGTGAACTGTCCCTTTAATAATCACTGGTACAGAGCATTAACAATGCCTACTTATACATTTCTGCACTGAAATAACAATACAGGAAGTCATCTGTTTGTTGTGAAATATATTTTGCATCCCATCTTCCTTTTAAAGAGAATATACCATCTTTTAATTTTCTTTTCCAAGTGGAATTTCCGATTATTATACAGGATTTATTACTATTATACAGGATTTATATAGCGCCAACAGTTTGTGCAGCGCTTTACAATATAGGGAAGACATTACAATTGCAATAATACTTTGAGACAAAGTTTGAGATGTAACCAGGGGTAGAGTTGCGGATGGCTTTGTAAGTGGTTAAGATTTTGAATTTTATCCTTTGGGCAATTGGAAGCCAGTGTAGTGATTGGCAGAGGGGGAATGCAGACACTGAGCAGTTGGTCAGGTGAATGAGTCTAGCAGCAGCATTCATGATAGACTGAAGGGGTGATAGCCTGTGTAGAGATAAGCCAATGAGGAGACATTTGCAATAGTCAAGACGAGAGATAAGTGAGTGGATGAGTAGTTTAACGGTTTCACTGGTGAGGAAGGGGTGTATTTTGGAGATGTTATGAAGGATTTGCATAGTGACTAGATGTGAAGCAGTGACATCCAGACTGATATGTCAGTTACTAGATTAGTGGCACGCAAGGAAACTGAGGGGGTGAGTTGTGGAGTAGAAAATAATCTTGCCAGTGTTTGTCAAAGTGTGTATGTAGAGCCAACATTTTGTTTTAAAGGTCTAGATAGAGTAGGGAGGTTTGTCATTTTTTTTCCATCTGTGTCCCATTGGTTGAGATTTCCCTTTATATCCTCTCCTGCAGACACCATGGGAAGTGAAAGGAAATCTCCAACGCGAGGGGAATACCCCTCTTTGACAGTTCTCATCAGAGCAGAGCCCCCTTTTTGGGATTTACCCTTACCATTTTGCTATTGTGATTACTGTAACATTGGATTTGCCCTCACATTCTGGTTCTGTGACAGTGGCCATCGGGACAAATAGGGTGAATCTCCCCAGTGGGAACACAAACCACAATACCTATTCTTGGTATTATTGAGTCCAGAGACAGGCAAATAACATGTTCAGAGTCATTTCAGTAATAGCAACCTGTATGTTTCTCTAATTTTTCCCTAAAGTTTTGAATCGGTTTTAAATGTTTTTAAACATCTTTTATAGCTTTTTTTTTTTTTTTTACTTTTGTATATGAACAATTTTTGTTTTACAAATACAGTAATACCTTGGTTTACAAGTAACTTGGTTTAAGAGCGTTTTGCAAGACAAGCAAACATTTCTGACAAATTTTGCCTTGATATACAAGCAATGTCTTGCAATAAGAGCAAAATTTTGTAGAAAAGCGCCACCGAATAAGGCTGTAGCAGTGCAAGCGATGAGTCTGTTTAATGACAATGCAATGTCACATTGGATAGATTCCTTGTTAAGGTTTCATGAAATGAAAACGATTCCATTGAGCCAAGAGAAGGCAGTGATTCCGTTAGTGACAGTGAAAGTTGTCCTACACAATAATCCTCCTCTCTCCTGTCCCCCTCACACCAGCCACGAAGGTACCGGTAATTGGTTTATTTTTCTTTATATTTTGTACAGTATTATATTACAGTACAGTATTGTAATCATTTTTATATGGATATTTTTGGGTTGTGGAACGAATCATCTGAATTTCCATTATTTCCTATGGGGAAATTCGCTTTGATATACAAGCGCTTTGGATTACAAGCATGCTTCCAGAACGAATTATGCTCGTAAACCAAGGTATTACTGTAAACATGTAATGCATTCCATGGATTCTGTGTGGGTTATAGGGACAGTGCTGCAGGCTCTGCCTGCTTTGGGGGCTCTGTTGGATGTGGACTAAGTCAGCTGAGTCACTGCATTGAGTCTGTAAATAGGCATTTAATATCAAATTAGAAAAATGTAAGAAGCTCCTAAAGCAAAATGTTATGCAACATTTCATGTTTCCTGATTAAAATAAAGAATTTGTTTTAGTCCTAACTTTAATAAAGAAATTATGTACTAAACTTCAAGGGTGAAAAATCCCAGGAGCCAGGTAACCAATGCTCCCTAAAGCGGAACTCCAGGAATTATCTTTTTTGCAAACTTACCCTGCTTTACCTTGGCTCAATGTACGTATCCATATCTGATATCTGGAAGGCTGATGAGGTTGCTGACAATTGCTGTAGTAGTCCGCATACAATGATGGCCCTGATCTTCCGGTGCAGCTCCTATGGCTCTCCCTATGCATACTCGGGCATACTCGGTATATTTTGCCCATTACTGACTTATGATTTATGCTGTGTGAAGGCAGCCAAATTGGTAGAGGAGTAAGGCTCTGTTTTCTCAT